CCACCGCCGAGCAGACCGCCCTTCCTTCCTTTTCGATGGTCGAGAGAGCACCATCGGTACAGAGGAGGTGGGCATCTTCGTCATGATCATCCTGGAAGGGGCTGAGCTCGTCATCCAAGCGTGGCTGTGTTGGGTGGACTAACCGGAACCATTCCCATCCACCACATCGAATGTATTCGATGACAGTTGGGCCATCTCCCTCGATAGTGGCTTCCCCTTTCTCGTTGTATCTCAGATCAATGTGAGAGCCGCCTTGGTATGCTCCACCGAAGACCGGCCCAAGAATCGAAACGAAGGCAGCTCGAGCTTCTGGGGTATCTGCGGAAAACACTGGAGACCGCATAGGTCGAAGGATGACCACGTCACAGACGGCCTCAGACGCTGGGATTTTGGACGCCAAAGGCGTGATCATGAACGCAGGCTCCAGTCGATCTGACAAAACATGAGTTGCAGATGGCAGGGCATGAAGAAAATACGTGCCGACATTCACTGTGGCCAGAAAGTAGGAGAATGGACCTTCCATTTCAACAATAGTGTCGTCATCAGGATCGGACTCTGGGTGAGCGACGAAAGATTTGACTTCAGGGTCATAGATTTGGACGACGTCGGCCCCGGTGCAGGCAGAAGTTTCACGGAACTCTGATACCAAATCGGACAGTTTTTCTGTGCAGCGACCTTGACACTCTTCAGCTAATTGTAGTACTGTGAGTCTGCGGACCAATCCACACCTTGAACCTTTCAATTCCAGGCATTTCAGCCCGAAGCTCCTCCGAGTCGCGCAGAATCGCTGCATGAAGTGATGTTGAAACTACAACCGCAGAAATGCGTGCTGAAATGGAGGCATGACCTTAGCAATGGTGACGAGGCAATATGTGCACGCCCACCTTGCGGAGCTTTACGAGCTGCAGGCGGAGACGAAAGCGTTGTGATAGCCAAATTCAAAGGGATCGGCACGGAGCCAGCAATGAATGCATGCAGAGATTGGAGTCGATAATCCAGGCTGGACCCATCGGCGTTGGACTGGGGTGGGAAGAAACTCGAAAACAGTGCATTGGCCGTTCCAAGAGGAATCAAAACCAGGACAACTCTGTGTTTCGAGTCCGCCCTGGACCCAGAGAATTGAGCTGCAGCGAGAGATGTGATACATTCGTTGAGGGTACTGTCGCCAGAGCCCAAGATCACCACCACGTCCCATCATGAGCGCGTATGAAATCGACGAGAATCTCTCCCGCATGACCAGGGTGTTCTGTTCCGACGACCTTATCAACTGTCTTTCCGTGGCTTGCGAGTAAAGGTAGGACATGGTCCTCGAAAAAGCTCTGTGATTCTATCAGCGGTACGTTCAGTCAGCACAAGTTCAATTTACCTTCGCCGTGCCGGCTCCTGCAGCAGGATTGTAGATCGCTAGAATGGTCATGATCTACAGAATGATGGTTCAAGTCTGAAGCTTCGGAAAACTTGCAAAGGGTATGCGAAGGGTATCAGAGCGAGATAGTCGAATGATAATGGCAAGCTCGATATCGTTGACGTCATGAACCTGCCTAATGTCAATCTCAAAGGCCATCAAGCATCACTTTGTGGGGTAAACAAAGTTACATCCTACATTAGGAGATCGATAATCATTTGCCATCCATACTCAACTCACTATGTCTCGTCTCGTTCCAGGCAGATTTCCAGTCCCAGGTGTTTCTCCGATCGCGGATAAGATTCGAGAACGGCGCGGGGCTCGGGGGCTTACCCCGTTGGACGGCACTCTGCTCCATGTACCTCCCGTCGCCGAGGGATGGAATTCGTTGCTCGGAGCGATCCGCACCAAAGGCGCTCTTCCGGGGGACGTGCGAGAGCTTATGATCCTTCGCGTTGCGGCCATCAATCATGCGGCGTTTGAATGGATTCATCACGAACACGTCGGTCGTTCGCATAGGCTCTCGACGACCCAACTCTGGGCCATCCGGGATATTTCTGCTCTACCTCCTGCCGGCATATTGTCGCCTTTTCAAGCCGCGGCACTGGCATTTGCAGAGCACAGCACTGCATCTGTGCGTGTCCCAGCGGAGGTGACGACGAAGCTGCAAGAACAGCTGAGCCCCTATCCTCCTCGGCGTCACAGGTCGAGGATCTTCTGGTCGAGGCCGCTGCGGTGGTCGCGACGTACAACATGGTCTCTCGTTTCCTCGTCTCTCTCGATGTTGCTGGTATGTCTGACAGTGCGGTTCCATGGCCTGTCGATCGCACAGAGGTGGGAGACCCGCCACGCAAGTTGAATGCTTTGCTGATCCATTCATGCACAGCACAAGATCGCAATAGACAAGGAAGGAGGCCACCTGCACGCTGTCACACTTGTTACTCACGACGATGCCCCTTGGATTGTTTTCGCCAACTCATTGCTCACGGACGAGTCTATGTGGGACTGGTTCGTTCCATACATCTTGGCACCGCAAGGAAGCACCTCGTGGCCCTTCCAGGGAACTTACAACCTTCTGCTTCATGCTCAGCGTGGCCACGGTCGTTCCTCCACCCCGGCTTCCTGCACGATCCCCATTCTCGCGCACGACATCGCCCTGCTTATCAACGCACTCATTCCTGCCAAGAAAGTGAAAAGCGTAATTGGTGTATCGCAAGGTGGCGCCGCGACCCTGGCATTTGGTGCCCTGTATCCCGACCTAACTTCCAGTGCTATCGCCTGTGACACCGGGCCTCGCACTGCTCCGGGCAATGCTGCTGCGTGGCAGGAGCGGGTCGCGCTATCCAAGACGCAAGGCATATCAGCGCTTGCTTCCGTGACGGTGGATCGCTGGTTCCCAATCCCGTCGCCGTGCGGAAAAGATGGATCGCGGGGTCCCCGGCGAGAAGCGGTCAAGGCTATGATCGAAGCCACGAGCATTCCTGGGTTCGAGCTTGGCGCTGGTGCGCTGAGCTCGTATGATCTGCTCAAAACCCTCGCAGAGGACGGTGTTGACCTACTGACCTCCGGACAATCAGTCAAGACACTGCTTGTCGCAGGTGATTTGGATGGAGGAGGCAAGGTGGGAGCCGGCATGAAATCGTTGCGAGACCAATGGAAAGCCACGACACCGGCTGCCCAAGTCGACTATGCGGAAATCCCAGGCGCGGGACACTTGCCTATGATTGACGAAACCGAAAAGTTTTGGGCAGCAGTTGGGCCGTTTTTGAGCACCGTTTAGATTTACTGGTGTGATCCTACAACCTTGAAATGCCCTTAGATCTAGAAATTAGAGATGGCTATCGCCACATGTCAATCTGTATGATTCAATCGTCAAGTTGTTTGTCCCAGATTGGGTTGTGAGCTCAGAACTCAACCATGGCACCCGCTTTCAGGCCGTTCAGACTTGCGCTCATTCAACTAGGGAATGTCACCAGCGTCAAGGCTGACAATCTCAGCCATGCTCGCGAGATGATCCTCAACGCAGCATCGCACGCCAAGAAGCCGGATCTGATAGTGCTACCCGAATGCTTCAACTCGCCGTATGGCCATGTGCACTTCCCAGTCTACGCTGAAAGGATCGGATTCACCGCTGGTAAACCCTACGACGTCTCTGCCTCTGAGAGCGACAGTACGTGCAAGGCCCAATCTGATCATTGCGTTTCGTAGTGTCAATCAACAATACCTAGGCGTCAAGATGCTGTCGAACACGGCGAAAGAAACCTCGACATGGATCGTTGGAGGTATTACCCTCGATGTCGAGGGGGCCAACGGCACCAGGTGATCCTCCTCCCTAGGCTCTATTCCTGAACGAGACGGGGAGAAATTGTACAACACCTGCACTGTTTACAATCCCGCAGGTAGGGGGGCGCAGATCTCTCCAGTGCACCGAATTCAACGATCATGTCAGGGGACCTGGTCGCTATGCACCGGAAGGTTCATCTGTTTGACATCGATATTCCTGGTAAAATCACGTTCAAGGTGGGAGATTGGCCACTCTTCAAAAAATCATAGTAATCATGGCACCGAGTCTGTTCAGGAAAGCGAGACTCTCAGCCCAGGAACGACTACGAATTTGTTTGACACAGGTAGTAAACATTCGAACCTTCTCGCGTCTTTTGCTGTGAGCTTGGATTAGAATTTGCTCGGATCGGCCTTGGCATTTGTTACGACGTTCGGTTTCCCGAGCTTTCGATGATTGCTGCCCGTCAAGGTACATCCTTCCCTCGACCCGGATTCCCTCTGACCTGACCTGACCTATAGGGGCGCACATACTCATCTATCCTGGCGCCTTCAACATGACGACTGGTCCGCTTCATTGGTCGTTGCTGCAGCGTTCCCGGTATTGTGCTGTTACTGTCATTGACCGATCCCCTTTTGACGTCTCAGTGCTGTCGACAATCAAGTTTTCTTTGCTATGTGTAGCCCAGCCAGAGATCTGACGGCTGCCTACCATGCTGTATGTTCATTTTTTTTTTGGCAATACTGAATCGTTCCTGACTGGTGCATTTCCAGTGGGGTCACTCGATGGTCGTCGATCCCATGTCTGTATTTATGTTCTGAGCCGTATCTCTTCCCTAAAACCTCTCTAGGGCCAACGTTTTGGTCGAAGCTGAGGAGAAGCAAGACATTATCTATGCAGACATCGGTACGTTTCTGCGCAAAACTCATTAAAATGTTATCTAATCATAACAGACCCTACTTTGCTGCAAAATGCGCGAGCAGGAATCCCAGTCACTGTGCAAAGGAGATTCGATGTCTATCCCGATGTAAGTAGTTCAGAAAAGTAGAAATATCTACGGAGGTCACTTTGTAAGTGAGCAATCAATAGTTTGGAAGACCCAGGAAAACGCTGGAAGCTACTAGAACTTGAGCGTTGATTACGTACATCGACCGGTGTCATCTTATAGCTGTGTGTGCGATTACTGACCAACTCAGTATTGCTTCTTTCCCTCTCCCTCATCATGGTCAGAGAAACGTTGGATCCTTTCCTTTCTGAACCCCATCGCCGTCTTGACTTTCTCCTCTAGCAAATTTTATGACCTCCTCGAAGTCCCCCCGACGGCCTCTGAATCTGATCTCAAAAAGGCGTATCGTAAAAAGTCATTTTGCTCCTTTTCTTGTGTGCTTCGACTCAATACCTGTCTCCAGAGCCCTGCGCCTTCATCCCGACAAGGGCGGCGATCCCGAACTCTTCAAAGAGGTAACTCACGCGTGTGTACTTGCTTGTTTAGTCGTCCACCGGTCCATCCTGAAATCATGCTAGATACGAAATACTATCCGATCCAGACAAGCGGAACGTCTATGATGCCCGAGGAGAGGCAGGGCTGTCTGAGCAAGGCGGCATGGGTGGAATGGATCCTCAAGTACGTCCGCCCATGACACTAACTCATTTTTTCATATCTGACCTCGTTTTCCACAGGACCTCTTTAGTCAGCTCTTTGGAGGTGGCGGCGGCTTCGGTGGTGGAGGAGGATTCTTTGGCGGTGGCGGGCCGTCACGCAACGGACCTCGCAAGACGAAGGATCTTGTCCATCGCGTCCACGTCACTCTGGAAGAACTGTACAAAGGCAAGACCACTAAACTGGCTCTCACACGGAACCGCATCTGTACGAAGTGCAAGGGAAAGGGTGGCAAAGAAGGCGCAGTCCGCACTTGCAACACCTGTAACGGCCGTGGTGTCAAGGTCACTCTGCGCCAGATGGGTCCGATGATCCAGCAAATGCAGTCCAATTGTGATGAATGCTCTGGCACCGGAGAGATCATCAACGCGAAGGACCGTTGTGTACAGTGCAAGGGCAAGAAGGTCCTCCCGGAGAAGAAGGTCCTCGAAGTGCATATCGACAAGGGCATGAAAGGTGGCCAGCATGTCACTTTCCACGGAGAAAGTGATGAAGCACCAACGGCCGAACCTGGAGATGTTATTATCGTGATCGAGGAGAAACCACACGAACGCTTCAAGCGACAAGACTCAGATTTGATCACCGACGTAGAGCTGGATATGTTGACAGCCTTGGCTGGTGGGGCGTTTTCGATAAAGCATCTGGACGACCGCGCACTCCTTGTCAAGCTTGAGCCTGGGGAGGTCATCAAGAATGGTATGTCGCGTTTTTATCTGTTGTCCTGACATCATTTGAACGCCGTGTAGGCGACTTGAAAGTCATCCATGGTCAAGGCATGCCTGCCCAGCGTCATCACGATCCGGGAGACTTGTATGTCCGCCTCAGTGTGCGCTTTCCCGAAAGCATCGATGTCTCTGCTATTCCCCTGCTCGAACAAGCCCTTCCGCCAAGAAATCCGGTAGAACAATTCCCGAAGAACATCGTAGTGGACGAGGTCACTCTAGACGAAGCCGATACTCGATCTCGGGGACCATTGCGGGACGATTCGATGGATGAGGACACCGAGGAGCCGCGTGTCCAATGTGCTAATCAGTAAACTCTGCTTTGCGTCGCCGTGTTGCACATTTAGAGTTGTATTTTGTTGTCTATATACAATACACATCGCATCCACTGTACCCCATGTCTACCTCAACAGTCCCAACCAGTCTAGGAGGCGCGTTATGGCCAACCTAGGAGTGTGCTCAGACTTCCCACTCACCTCGGGATTTGCTTGGAAATCTTTGTATAGCCGGCGGTTGAAGAAACTGACTTCCGTCTCATTTTCTGGGAACTGGTTCAGTTCCATTGGACTTTCCGGATAAGACAACGAAACCATCACCAAACCCGAGATCAGCTAGCGTTCTACTGTCGTCGTCATAAATCCAATCATCGTGGTCCAAATTGATGATTAGGTTGGTGGTCTGCGGAGATGAGGGTCTTTCCCTCGAGATCGGAAACTCCGTCTCACCTTGGCTCCATGCGCCCGAGTGTACAGCTTCAACGTATCTGCTGATAGTCTAACAATACGGTTCACTTACACACGCGATCGGACGAACCTAGGATTTCATTTCGATATGGCTTCCATCCTGGTTGAGTCCCAACCGCTGAACAGGATGGTGCTCGATGTCTTGTAATCCAGTGCAAGGCAAGGGCGTTTTACCTGACCGTGCCTTCTCCTTCAGGGCACCAATTGTGGTGGTTTCAAGGTTAACGTTATGGAGAACGAGACTCTTTTCCGTCCGGTATGTAAAGGATTTTATGACCCGAATCGTAAGAGTGGCTGAAGTTTTCGGAAGGGCTTGATTGGAGAGCTGTTCCATCATGGCCGTGGAAGACAGGAATGACACCGAATGTACACAGCCACCCTGTAGCGCCCAAGGAGTGATCGGGATCCGGCTATCGTTCACACTGCTTCCTCATACTTCTCTTCCTGCTTGCATCCTTGCTCACTCAACCTTTTTGGCTTTAACAGCCGTCCCTCCTTGTCTTTCTCTGGGACTATTGACTTGTGAACTCTGAAACTACGCTCGTTCTAATAGCCTCTCCCACGATGTCTGTAGCGAGTGGTTCGGACGTGGCCTCCCAACTTGAAGTCGCCAGCGACATGGAAGTTCCAAAGTCCCCCGTGTACGGCAACGACTCCCAGCATTCGTTACGCTCCCGTTCCAAGCGTTCACTTCATGTTCATCATCCCATCGCCCCACCTCTCGGTCGTCCTATCGACGTATTCCGGCGAACAGTGCAGAAAGTCATCGCCATGCAGAGGAGTACCACCATTCTCGCGTCAGCAGGAGCCGGGGCAGAGCCAGGAATAGACCCCAGACGTGCTTCCATGGAAGTACAATACCGTTCTGTGCACAAAGACTGTACCATTGAGGTTGTGGACTACTCCGTTGTCTCTGCCAATTTCTACAAGATGAAGAATGCGGAATTCGTTGACTGGATCGGTCGGTCGAAACGGCCTCATTGGGTCAAAGTTCGATGGATCCATGTATCAGGCCTGAGCTGGGACGTTATCAAGGCCTTGTCGCTCAAGCATGGTGCGTAAATACTCGTTTTGGACTGGACCACATAGAACGACCTTGGTTTCTAGAGCTGCATCCCTTGGCCCTTGAAGACGTTCTCCATACTCGCCCCGAGAATTTGTCGAAAGCCGAGTACTTTCTCAAGCATTTGTTCCTTCGAATTCTCATTCACGAGGTGGAAGACGAAAATACCAAGCGGCCTGATGAATTCACTTCTGATCTTTCAGCCCCGTACTCGAAAAATGTAGGGAATACTGGATCCTAGGTTTCAGTGTTGCTGATTCAGTAGCAGGCGGTCAATGAGCGGCAAATCGAACAGGCCAAGATTGATGCTCTCAAGCAGGGTGTGATCAAAGTTGCCGCCAATCCTTTGTTCATATTTCTGCTTCGAGACGGCACGTGCCTCTGCATCGGGTACAATTCGTTGAACTTATGGGATGATTAGGTACTGTGATATCGATCGCACAAAACTCTCCTGCAGATCTCACCCTTCCCATCGTGGAACGGCTGAGAAGAACGGATACTATCCTCCGTTCTTCCTCTGACCCGAGCTTGCTCGTGCAGAGCCTGATCAGTCTCAGTAAGTCTGCGAAGATGTCGTCTGTGTTCTCAAGAACTGATGGGCCTAGTCGTGGACAAGGCTGTGCAGGTCATCGACGCGTACCATGACCAAATCTCAGAGTTGGAACGCCAAATTCTGATCAAGCCGAAACCTAACACCGTGCGAAAACGTGAGCTACCAGCCCGCTGAGTGCCGAGTCGCTGAAACAAGCTTCGAGTCCACATCGTATCTGGAGATTTGGTGCTTCACAAACGAACTCTGGACCCCATTAAGACGCTCGTCTATGGCTTACGACGATACGATGTTGACCGTTGTGCTGCTCTTGTCGACGAATCGGATCCACGCATGAAGGGCAAACCGATCGTCGGCTTCATGAGCCACAAGAGCAAGATTTATCTGGCTGATGTCTACGACCACACGGAATACATCCTCAGCACCCTCGATATGATTTCTGGCATCGGAGACAGTCTCACCGACTACAGCTTCAACGTGCGTGTGTGAAATTTCGTACATTGGGGGGCGGCTCAACTCTCGCAGATGGCCTCGTACTCCATGAACGACAGCATGTCAGTGGATCAATCTTTCTCATTGGCCGTTCTGACGCGCATCCAGGCGACTGCTGACAATGATCACCATCATCTGTCTTCCCCTCACCTTTGTTTCAGGCTACTTCGGAATGAACTTCACCAACAGTGGTTGGATCTTGAATCCAAATCAGTCCGACTCTCTGTGGGTTCTCTCCTGTCATGTTTATCCTTGGCTTATCCTCGGAAGGTTCTGGATTATCTCCCTGCCTTCAGTGGCAGTCATATCCACTCTGTTCATCATTCCAGACATCAAGAGGATGATTGGGTATTTCAGAACTCGGAAGCTGCTTCACCTCGCTGCCAGGGTCTGTTGTGTGTTTGTGTGAAGATGCTCCGTGTTTCTGACTCTGCTCCAGCCTATTGACTGAGGGACTGACCTGGTCACGATTAACTGTGCTGTGATCTTCGGGTGGACGGTGGATGGAAAGGCTTATATATATATTCTACATTTCACGTGGCTTACATGCTTCCGAGATTAACCCGCCTCCAGCCATGTGCTGGGCGTTCGAAGATGATATTTAATTTGAGTGCCAACCTACTGATCAAGGCCTTGTTCGCTCCCTCTGACCTTGACCATGGATGAATCCCGTTCTTTTTTGGCTGCCGACATTACGACGCTGATCCAGCGATTGACGATCGATGAAAAGATCGCTTTGTTGGGGGCACCAAACTTTTGGAATACGACAGCTGTTCCTCGCTTGGGTATACCGAGCATTCGAATGTCCGATGGTCCAAATGGGGTCAGCATCTCCCGTGTATAGTCGAGCAACACTTGACGTGGGGAGGCCAGGTTCGCGGATCGTCTCATTTCGTTGGGCAGCCCAGTGTTTGTCTGCCAGTAAGTGCTGCCCCCCTCTCGCTCTGCAATGAACAATTCTCGCTGTGCAGTGTGCCACGGGCTTGGCCTCTACATTCGATGTCCCGCTGATCCACGATGTCGGCCGCTTTCTTGGTGAAGAAGCCAAGTCCAAGTCGTCCGTAGTCTTGCTTGCGCCGACTTGCAATATCCAGCGGTCACCGCTTGGAGGCAGATCGTTCGAGTCGTTTTCAGAGGACCCTTACTTGTCAGGTAGGCTGTCAAGTGTAATCGCTCGAGCACGCATCGGATCGTTCATCCACTCAGGAACGTTGGCGGCATCATATGTGAATGGTCTGCAGTCGGGAGGTGTCTCAGCCAGTCAGTCACGGGATGTCTCTGATCATGCACCTGCGGTCGCTGAGGCTGCGTAGCCATCAAGCACTTCGTGGCCAATGACCAAGAACATGAGGTGGGTCTGCCCGTCTGCGCTGAGCTGGGCGAGATACCAACAAAATCAAGCGCACCGCAGCCGATTCCGTCATCTCTGAGAGAGCGCTCCGTGAAATCTACCTCTATCCGTCCGTCCATCTTGCTCGTCCGGATCTGATCATGCAAGTAACACCCCATGGAGATTTATGCTCGCACAGAAGTTGGCAGGGCCAGGTAAGAGAGAGACCAGCCCTATGTTCTTTCCATTGATCAGACTGTTCGGACATGCAGGAGCTTACATGACATCGTGAGCTTGTTGATGATCATGTGATCGAGCTGCGCGACAGCTCAACTTGGGCAGATACGGGCGGATTGATGGGGTACATTGCTCCGAAAACAGGGCGCTATTGCAAGGGATACTCCGAAACGAATGGGGGTTCCGTGGCTTGGTCATTAGTGATTGGTATGGAACATACGGTGTTGACGAAGCCCTCAATGCGGGCTTGGACCTGGAGATGCCTGGGCCTCCCCGATGGAGGACACCGCTTCTTACGAACCATGTCTTGACTGCACAGAAGCTTTCCCTGACCACCCTCAACGCCCGAGTGGCCAACTTGCTGTCGTTTGTCCAGGCACAGGCTCGCAGCAACCCGGACGTCGTGTATGGAGACGGGGCAGAGCTGACAAGAGACTCACCGGAAGGGAGAGCATTTTGCAGGAAACTCGCTGCCGATGCGGTCGTGCTATTGAAAAATGATGGTGATCTTTTGCCGCTCTCTTCCAGCAAGATCAAGAGCCTAGCGATCATGGGTCCGAATGCCAAGCTACAGATCATCTCGGGTGGCGGTTCTGCAGCGTTGAAGCCCAATTACGCAATCTCCCCGTTCGCAGGTCTGGTCAGTGCTGCGCCCGACGAGGTTCAGATCAAATACACGGTGGGATCCCAAGGCAAGTCGCGCGTCCCCGCGCGATATTAGGCTCATTGCAATACAGCTGACAAATACTTGCCTACTCTCGAGCAAAAGTTGATCGCGCCGTCTGGTCAGCAGGGGTGGCTTTGCACATTCTATAACCATGCTCTCGATGGGAGTCTGGCCCAGCCCGTCGCTACATTCGTCTTGAACGACACACGCGTCAAATTGGTCGACTTTCTGCCACCTGGATTGACACCTACATGGTCAATCAAATTAGAAGGACGATTGACTGTGGAAGAGAGCGGTCCTTTTGAATTGGGGCTCACTGTTGCCGGCCGGGCCAAACTTTGGGTGAACGGGGAAATGACCATCGACAACTGGACGAAACAAACGCCAGGAGACTTCTTTTATGGACAGGTAGCCTGAACTTGAATGTCTTACGCTCGTCAACTGATCATGACGGGTCCAAGGGAAGTGTCGAGGAGCGAGAGATTGTTCAGCTGACCGCGAATGCTGGGGTGGACATTCTCGTCGAATACACCAACACGTCTCCTCCTCGGGAGAACGACGAGGTTGGATCGCAGCCTGCTTTGATGCGCGGTGTCGTGCGTCACTTACCACAAATGCACGCGCTTGAGCTGGAACGTTCTTCACAGCGCTTGGGAGGCCGGGAGAAGATCGATGAAGACGCTGCGATCGCTGAGGCAATCACTTTGGCAGAGGAATGCGATGCTGTGGTCGTCGTCGCAGGTCTGACACCGGAGTGGGAGAGCGAAGGATTCGATAGACCGTCTCTGACGTTGCCTGGAAGGCAAGACGAGGTACGAAAAATTCAGCCTTCGCCGTGAGGCTCGCCGACTTTTTCGAGACAGCTTATTGCGAAAGTATCCCTGGTCAACAAAAATACCATTGTGTGCATACAAGCTGGTTCTGCCACTTCGATGCCGTGGGTTGGTGACGTCCGCGCGATTGTTCAGGCCTGGTATCTTGGCAATGAAGCAGGTGTGTCATCAACTTTGTTTTCAAGAATTGAACCGTTGAGTCTTTTCAGGCAATGCAATCGCAGATGTGCTCTGGGGCAAAGTTAGAAGATGTCACGCGCGAGGGCAGAAGACACTGACCTCATCCCCAGGTAAATCCATCAGGCAAGCTGCCGATCACGTTCCCTGTCAAAGAGCAAGACAGCCCAGCGTATCTCAACACTAAAAGTGAAAACGGAAAAATCTATTATCGCGAAGACTTGTTCGTCGGCTACAAGCACTATCGGGCCAGAGCAGTGGAACCCCTGTTTCCTTTTGGGTGGGTGCTTCGCGATTTCTTTCCCCTCCCCGAACCTAGACCGCCGTTGATCGTGGTTCAGAGCTGGCTTGTCGTATACCACTTTCTCCTTGTCCCATCTCGCTATTTCGCCGATCAGACAGAGAAGAAACGAAATCGAATTCAATGTTTCTGTGACGGTGACCAACACCGGACTCACGCCCGGATCGCAGGTCGCGATGGTCTTTATTAGCTACCCTGATATCGGGCTGGTTACTCCAGAGTACCAACTGAAAGGGTTTGCCAAGGCCAAACATCTGCAAGCCGGAGCATCACAAAGACTGGACATCCTGCTCGACCGCTACGCGCTTGCCTTCTGGGACACATTGACTCATTCGTGGAGCGTGAAACCGGGCAGATACACCATTTCTGTGGGCACCTCGGCGGTCGACTTGGAGTTGCAGGACGCGTTGGACCTCCAGAGTGGTTGTTCATGGCAGGAATTGTAGTACAAATCACAGCTGTTCTTCTCCCACCTTCCATATCGACAAACCGCCTCCTCCTCCAATCGCCACGATGCCGCCCGTTTTCCAACTGACATCTAAGATCTTCTTGTCCTCCCAAGCCTTGAAACTTGCAACTGGTGTTGCCCCCTTGACACTGCGGAGATCCCATATGCGCGCAACGCCGTCGTAAGCTCCGCTTAGGACTTGGTGCGGATGGCTGGGTGCCGACACGACGCATGAAGGAGTGGTCGGATGCGTCAGAGTCAGAGACGCGATGGATTGCGTCTCTCGACAATCGTACTGGGTTATCGTTCGATCGGTCGACGCCGCGAGCACAGTTCTGGGGGAAAACGCAGGCCCAGAGCACATGGACACAAATGGGCGTTCCGACAAAGTCTGCAGCATGTTTAACTACCAATCAGTGGCAAGAAGCATAGTTCTCACCAGTGTATTCGTTGAGACTCCGTGCTCGAGATCCCAAGATCGCACAGTCGAATCCAATCCGCAACTGATGGCGCCTTCGCCTTCTGACGCGAAAATAACGGCAGAGACCCGGGCAGTATGTGATTTCAGCACCATCAGCGGGGCCTTGCGCTTGGGCCTCTCCTCTTGCACCTTTCTCCTTTTCTTGCGATCGCCAGTAGCAGCTTCGGGAACCTCGTCCTCGTCTGGAATTCGAGTATCCCATAGACCGACGAGGCTGTCCCAAGACGCTGTCAGCAGCTGTGTTCCAGATAGATTACAAGTGATCGCTGAAAGAGGTGCCGTGTGGAGATGTAAGGATGCTAAGCGTTTGGTGTTCTCTGGTGTGCCGAAAGAAACTTCGTTTAGTTGAGCAGTGAGGTCATGCGAAGCAGTAGCAATTATGTGACTTCCGGAGGAGGTCGAGGAAACAGCGCAGAAGGCTGTGATTGGTGCAGCATGAACTGGGCTGCTCCATGTTTGCGTCTGAGAATAGTCGAATGCGCGCAGACTGCCATCGTAGGACGCGGTTACAAACAGCCTGTGTGAGAGCACTGAGATGGAGACCGTTGATGTTGAACACGTACGCACTGCTCAAATCGACAAGAGACGGAAGACACCCAATCATCATGGGGCAGGTCAGATATTTTCTGCGGTGGTAAAACAGATTCTATATACTCGATCTCCAGTGTTTCTTCCTCTCCGACTCCATTCTGAGAGCACCAGTCACTTAACCTCGTTTTCAAGATATCACCGTGCAGTAGAAAGTCGAAGGGAATCGGTTGCGCTAACGCGAGAGCCTTGTTGATGAGTTGAGACAACTGGTAGCGAGACCATGTTGAAGGAATCATAAACTTTTGTGGTGGAAGTGGATAAGGTGTCTGTGTAGTGAATACGGCAGGGTGAGAGGGGGCCATGGTCGCACCCAGATGGAATCGAGACGAGATGTATGGGATTCAATTCCAAAAAATCTAGGCAGGCACAGCCACGACACCAAATAGCCCACATCCACATCAGATGTGTCAGTGACCTGGGAGGAATGCCGACCTGGCGCCACGCGTTTTGAACGCGGCGCCCCAAGAGCGCCTCTAGAAGCCGGCTGTACCTTAGCCATGGCCGACATGTCTAACAGGCCAGACGGGTCGGACACGACGGCACAAGCCCTTGTACAACTGGTCCCAGTGACGTCAGACTATCACGACCATTGGCAAGCCATTTCTCACATCTCGAATCAAGTTGTGCTGTATAATCCAACCTCTCATGCGCTCACAATACAACACTCCTCGCGAGAAGCGTTGCACATCTCTGCCTCGGCCTGTCCATACTGCAAACGGCCGCTTCCAGACGATGTCGAATTACCGGAGGAGACTCTTAGCGAGGATGGGTCAACATTCAGAGCGCACAACTATTTCCAGCTCCTCGCAGTCGCAAATGAGACGTCTTCCCGGCCATCTACTCCGACTTTACATGGTCGCGAAGCAAGACCAAACGCCTTTGCATCAGAGACCATGGCAGAAGGCTATTTCAAGGCTTTCTTCCAGGAAGAGTGTAGGCTGGGAATGGGCGCTTCTGGGACAGTGTATCTCTGCCAGGTTTGTGCATATGTGTGGCTGTCGATCCTTATGCTGATTAGTAAAAGCACGTTTTGGACGGGAACCCGCTCGGTACTTCACCCATCGCGGTTATTAGACTGTAGATGACACAGCCCAGGACATTTCGCTGTGAAGAAGATCGCAGTTGGAGAGTCTCACTCGTATCTGCTCAACATCCTCAAAGAAGTTCGGCTGTTGGAGCAGCTGCAGCATCCCAACATCATAAGCTATCAGTGCGTACCCGTGCAAAGGAGAAGCCGTTGTCAGCTCTGAACTTCATCAGTCACGCGTGGCTTGAAACCTGTCAATTCTCTGCTTTTGGCCCCCGAGTCCCAACACTGCAGTAAGACCTGACACGGATACTCCTCACATCCTGAGGTTGACGTTTCGCAGTGTGCTGATGCAATGGGCCGAGGGAGGCAGGTTCGTTTTGATTCAGCATTGGGATTCATGACTTAAAACGTCGATAGCCTGGACGATTTCATTGACGTTCGTTTGGGCAAGAGATCCCCTCACGCGCATATCGATCCCGCCGCGTTCACCAGCTCCAATTCACCACCAGTGGAGGATTCGGACACTCTTTCCCGCTCGGCTCGCATCAGGGCCTTCCGGGAGTTCCAGAAATTTTCTCCAGAACAACGTGAACGAATCCGGGAAGAATCATTGCGTCACGGAACTCGGTCGACGACTTGGACCGCAGTCCATCTTTTGAGCGCAGAAGAAGTCAAAAGTCTTTTTTCCGACGTTGTGGAGGGACTGGCGTTCTTGGTGAGCTCGCCGTGTGGAGCGAAGTCGCCGTCGGTCTGAACCATAGCAGCACAATAAATCAATTCTGCATTTGGACCTCAAGGTAAAGCCTAGAATAGCAATCGAAGTCGGTGCTCACTGCTGCCCAGCCAGGAAATGTTCTTTTGACATGGGACGAGGGAAGATTGACGTCAGTCCGCTTGCAGTCCCTTCAATGCGGTCACGTGACGATCCAGCAGTCCCCGAGCGATGCTCTCTGACTTTGGTACTTCTCGGGATATGCTCAAATCGTCCTCTCAGCGCTCTGGGAATACTGGAACGTAAGCTCGAGAATTGAATGAACCATCCACAGACATTATTGATCATGCTCAGGCTTGAATACTCCTCCCCAGAGTCATTGCCTGCTCTCTTGACAGGCCGGTTGCAACCTGTTGATTCGAAATCCGACATGTGGTCTCTCGGAATGATCTTGCATAAGCTTCTGTTCTTGAAGTCGCCATATCTACATGCCTCCGATGATGTCATCAGAGACAGCAATGTCGCAGAGGCAGATAAGATGGCCCGGCTTGAGAACGAGATTCTCAATTATGCTGGGTAAACAAATCTGTTCCGCTGCAATTCGGGTGCTAATTGTCTTCAAGTTTTCAAAGCGATAATGCACACACCATCCATTTCAGAACCCGTCATCTGCCGCGTGCATTTTTGATTCTTCTTGAAACTCTTTTGCATGTAAAGCCCTCGAACAGACCATCCTGCGACCGTGTCGCTTTCGCTCTTCGTGAAGGCAAACTGGATCCAGTGCCTTCGGCCACCGAGTCGAATCTAAGCTCACTCATACCAGCACCACATCGCAGTGCGCCTCTCGAGCCTGAGGACAGTGATGTTGCCAAGACTTCCATTGACGAAGACCCTCCTCGTGTGAATCCAATCTTAAAGTCGCGACTGATCTACTTGCGGACATTCAAATCCTGTCTTCTCATAGCCAAGGTATGCGATCGATGACTGTTTACTCCGCATTCTGAGCGCCTCTAGACTTTTTCGGTCTCTTTCTTCTGCGCCAAAGACCGTCTTCATCCATTACTTCTGTCCCTAGTGCTTGTTTTTGCCGTCGCAGATTCATGGTTTGATGGATGGAGGTCAAGCTGTATCTTTGCGATGCTTCATATGTTGCTCATGCACTTCGGATGTTCGTGTTGTTTTTCATTGCTGGCATAACGGACTGGAAACCTCATTTGCAACTCCCGAGTTTCATTATCAACCAATTTGACAATCATGGTTCACATCCTCACCTTGAGAGATCGTATTTTTATCCTGTCACCGTATAGAACGTCTCTCGTCAGTCGATAGTAGTAATAGTAGCAATGCTCACTCAGTTGACTATAAACCAATACTTGGTATGGTAGTACAGCAGAGTACAGCACTGCCTTTCTCGCACACGTGACCGTTCCCTTCCTCACATTCGGGCTTACCGTTTCGCATCAGCCAAGTAGCTTCATATCTTTGTCTCAACTTCCTGGTCTGTGTCTATGAATCCGCTGGAGTATGACGTAGGCTCGGACATATATGCTCTGGCGACAGGGAAGAACGATGATGCGGCCGACTTGGTAGCTGTGGGGACTGACCATTCAGTCACGGTCCTACTTCTTAGCCTAGAAAATACACCCAGAGTGGTCGCGTCATTCCATGTTGGTGCGAAAATAACTGCATTGGCATGGTCTCCTCGCTCTGTATCTCCATCATTTAGTGACCAGTGGCTCTTGGAGTGAGTTTATTCATCGCAAAGTAGACGATGGATCATGCTCATCCTGCATGCCAGAATTGCCGCCGCTAGCTCAGATTTCGGCCTTCATTTACTCACGAAATCGGCAACGTCAGAAGAAGCGATATTCTCCTTCGGTGGAGGGCTCAGCGGGCATCATGGCCGAGTCAATTGCATGACTTTCTGTGGAGGGAGAGGAGAGGATAGTACCCGATACGTCGCAACGGTCTCAGGTGCATCATCCATATCGCATTGTTCTTGGAAATCAAGTAGCTGATCAAATCTAGACGACAAAATGCTCATGGTTTGGGACTTGTACCCGACAACGGAGACCTCAGGGCGTTTGTCGAGATCGCCAGAATCGCCAGGACTTTCAGAAGGCCGACTGCAACCCACTGCATACGTTATATCATTCCCCCATTCATTGGTGTCTGTTAGTTCCCATCCATCTTCATCCAAGGAATTCCTGGTCTCTGATGTACGGGGATCGTTGTTTTTAACCGATTGGCGGTCTGATCCAGAGGATGAGTCTGATGAGGGCTGGCGCATTGTTGATCTCGTTGAGCCGTATGCGTTAGCCTCTACTGTCTCTGGGAGCTCTGTCGTCGGAGGCTGGGCAGCATGGCGAAATGACAATCCAGACATGTGAGCCAGCTGCGGTATCTTGAATTTGGACTGAAGCCTCTTCGATAGTATCGGTGCCACATATGGCCCTCGATACTCCTTATGGGACATCTCCAAGCTTCAGGGTGGCAAACCCATCGGCGGAAGCAGTTTCCCCCAGAACGACCGGTTTCGGTGGGTACCAAAGTGTTATCAAGTGGTCGGGTGAGAACTGACGTACACCATTCGAGATGGTGCACGGTGAACCCTGATTACTTTGCGACATCGTCCCGCTCGCCTGGGAAAGGAGCTTTGATCAATGTGCATAGTACTGTGTACTCCCTGCCCACCACTCTGACCCTTGCACCCCGACCTCATTATGTGCGAGATTTTGACTGGATGTCGAAGAGCGCCAACATCGTAGCCGCAGTCGGCCGGAAAGTGATAATGACTGCTGTTCTTACTGAGGGATAGCGCGTGGGGATTACTAGTACAGAAGACATTATCGCTGTGATTACATGCACAAACTGCAGATCTATCGACGAAAGCAACACAAGGTTAGAGTCAAACAACAGGTCGATGGCCGTAGGGCTGAGGATGGACGTGATATGACAACTCGAAGTTAGGTTTGGAGTCAGCCGGACCACGGCTTTCGCCAAAGCCAAGTTCGAGGAACATATTTTTCCAATAATGAGCGTCCAATTCGGACGCGTGGTGGATCGATGGAACATAGGGGTCGGCATGGTAGTTTGATCCGTCCGGCGAATACTCATCCCTCGAGAAGCTGCTAATGGGTGACGCTGTGAAGTGGTACGGCGGCGGCGCGCCGTGCGTTGGAGACACTTGCTGGGCAGGATAGGATGTGACTACGTCATGTACAGATCAAGGCTGCTCACATATGTGCTATACTGACAATGCACGCACCTTGTAACCTCGGATCAAGCGGCAGAGGTTCGTATCGGTCTGCTTCACTCCGTCTAGACTTGAAGATGTCATTGGCTAGGAGACTCCGGAGAAAGCGGGAGTGATAGGCGGCAGAAGTCGATGTCGATGGGAAGCCTGCGGCTTCTGCATAAGCATCTGCAGTCTTTGAAATGAGAGTGTGGATCTCGTGAGCAGTCCCCTCATGCAGCTCAGCCAGTGTATTGGAGCTGCGCAAAAGCTATTGGATAGTCAGTCAGCTGAGAGACACGGGAAGGATTGGACGAATATACTCTCAACAGAAACACGGCAGAGTAAGCTGACATCACTGTTATAGAATCTTGGCCGTATCGCTTTTTGAGTTTGTGAGATGAGATGCAGCAGCGTCGCACCACTTTACACTCACCAGCATGCTCATGGCCGGGAAGTCTTTTGAGACAATGCGAAGCCCGTCCAAAGCACTGGTGCAGCACGCCGATAAGGCTTGTAGACTGGGGCTAGCTCGACTCGACTGGGTTATGGGGCGGATAAGCTCCGGATGTCGTGAAATACTCAAGCTCCACTCACCGGAGATATCGAATCCTGTATCCCAAAACTGTTCAGGAAGAGGCGGACATGCAAGCGGAAGAGATTCAGAAAAGAGAAATGGAAGGTTTCTCCGCCGGCTAGATGGAAATAAACATCCAGCCATCAGCAGAATGATGTAGAAAACATGCCGCGCTTCATTTCATTGGACCAGGCATCGGACCACTGTGTCAGTTTTCCGTTGCAATTGCGTAGCACGACATCGTAGTTGACATCGTGGTGCGGTCCGTTGGAGAGACCCGGTCCCTTGGACGAATAGAACATGTCGGTGGTTTCAGACTAGGCCTGATCAGTGGCGAAGTACGGCACAGTCAGCGCACTCACCGATAGCCGCCTCAACTGCACAAAGGCAGCCACGATCACATCCTCGGGTCGAGGAGGAGCAGTGCCTTGCTCGTGCCACGTGATTGCATGCCGGACAAGGTCGTCCTCGGGAAGCATCCAGCTGCGGCCAGTTTGGGTACTGAGACTGCGGTCGTGGATAAACAACACAAGATATGTCCGTTCTCGGTTGCGGCGCTCTAGCTTGCTGAATTCACTTTCATTTGATGGCGGTATCGCCAGGTACCGATTCAAGCCCAATTCGACCGCCATCCGACATGCCTAAAGCGTGTCAGTACATTGTCACCCGCGGGTCGACTTCGAGCTTACATATCCGATGTACGTCCATGTCCGCTGGAAATGTGCATCAGTCACAATGAAGCTGAGATGCTGCCCACTTACGTTGTCGTCGGGATCCTTCCAATACGTCAGGCAAGCGAAAGCTTGAACCACTTCGACACTTTTGAGTGCATCCGCAAAGGCCCGAACAGCGAGCTCATGGGCCAATTTCTGACACGACTTGAAGATCTCCGCTCGAAAGAACTTGGCCCCAGCCATGATCAAAGTCGTAAACAAAAATGGGCATTTCGACCGCACGTATTGCACCGTGTGCAGGGCAGGGTCGAACAAGTTGATGAATGGATTGAGGCGGAGAAACACGAGATCGAATAGGACTTTCGCCCCATCTTCGTCTAGAATCCCGGTGTTGATGGGATCGGAGTATGAAGTTGGTCGGGTGGTGGCAGGTGGCGAGTATGAAGGACGACTGGGTAACGCGACAACTGCAGATGAGCTTTCGGTAGGATTGAGAATGGTTCGGAAGAATGAATTGCGCTGGTTCTCCTTGCGGATGAGCTTGGCTGGGAATAACGCGCGATGCTCCGAGTCTGCTTCGTCGTCCTCGTCCATATCCATGTCAGGCCGCGAAGATCCAGCATTTGCATACTCTCCAGGCAAAGTGATGGGTGGCAGCTCGTTATTCGTAAAATGTGTGTTCGGCGCCGCATATTCTCGTGGATATATTTCGCGGCCATCGGCGGGGAAACCCTGATCGACGACCTGCGCTTTCAATTTCGCACTGTGGAGCCCTCGCTCCAGACGTCGGAGCATCTTCGATGCCTCAGACAGCCTAACGCAAACCTGCATAAAGCAACGTTGCGGCACTGGAATGGGGGACGTACTTGGAGCCTGGTTTACGTCCGCGCCGATGCTTTTCAAAAACGCACTCCGCATTTGCACGCTTGCAGCGCTGGCATTGCTTTTGTCCATCCTCTGCACCCACACACTTCATCTGTGGATTTGGTGGTTGTCATTCTTCAATTAGGCTGGTAAATAGATTGAACGGCGGACCTTCGCTGCCCGGCAAACAGTGCAAGCTCTGGCACCTCTTACAACTGGTGTTTTAGATCTAGTGGCATGCATGAGAGAGGTCTAGGAGATTATTAAGAACGCACCCGCCCTCCAATTCGTGGCCATCGTCTACGAGAACGTCCATGGCGATGACCGGCGACAAGACGGGGATCAAAGTCAGAGCGAGAACACCGAAACGCGCCCGGGGTAATGTGGACACGCGGACTAGACCTGGTAAGTATACAGACGATAGACGATGGTGGCTTGAAAGACACACAGGGAGCGGGGAAACTTGGATGTGGTGTTGTTGAAGTAGCTCAGCCGCCTCAAGGTCTTATCGTTTGCCTCATAAATTTCGCCTTCGCCGCACTGATCGGTCCGCCTACGGGTCTAGTTTTACGTGCAGTCCTCTTCCTCGATTTCTATACTGACCGGTACGCTAAGGCTCGGAGCATAGCCTCGGACGCGTACTCGACGCGACGCGATCGCGTGCAAGAGCACGATTTCCCTCTCCCCGGATTGTCAATTGTCAATTGTACGGGGTTTCCGGTCTCTCAGTCTATTGCCGGCGAAGAGCCAATGCATTCAATTCGACGACGTCTATTTCGACTCTGACAGGTCTCGAATCTCGTATGAACAGCAGAACTAAGCATGCACCGCAGGGACTGGGATGGCAGATGCCAAGTAGCAAGAACATCCCCGGGTCTTATGAGTTTGCCTGGTGACTCCAGGCCTGTTCCATTGCACTTTTGTCAGGCCCGAAGCATCCGACCTTGGCGTGGAAGAATGAGTAAATGTATTACATAATCAGAGTTGAGGGGCTGTGAGATCAGCAAACACGCGTAAAGTTTGTGTTACACCGTGACATGCGCGACCATGGTCAGAATTATCATCAAAGGAGGCGTCTGGAAGGTAAGTGTCTCCATTCGAAATGTGCCGACTGCTTATTTGCTGTCAAGAACACTGAAGACGAGGTCCTCAAAGCTGCAATCGCCAAGTACGGCAAAAATCAGTGGGCTCGCATCTCGTCCTTACTCGTTCGCAAGACTCCAAAGCAATGCAAGGCTCGTTGGTACGAATGGCTCGACCCCTCTATCAAGAAAACAGAGTGGTCGAAGACTGAAGACGAAAAGCTTCTGCACTTGGCCAAGCTGATGCCTACTCAATGGCGCACCATTGCTCCGATCGTTGGACGCACAGCAGTTCAGTGTTTGGAGCGGTATCAAAAGTTGCTCGACGAGGCTGAGGCAAAAGAGAATGAAGAACTAGGCCTGACCGGGCCAGCAGACACCGGCCCCAGTGCAGACGATGTTCGGCGTCTGCGTCCAGGAGAGATTGACCCTGATCCGGAAACGAAGCCGGCACGACCGGATCCCATCGACATGGATGAGGACGAGAAGGAGATGTTGTCTGAAGCTCGTGCGCGCCTTGCAAATACGCAGGGTAAGAAGGCCAAGCGCAAGGCTCGAGAACGGCAGTTGGAGGAAGCCCGCCGGTTAGCTGTATTGCAGAAGAAGCGCGAGTTGAAGGCTGCTGGAATCATGTACGTAGTGGGCCACATTTCAAAGAGCGAGTACTGAACAGTCTGGTAGAATGCGCTCCAAAACGAAACGAAAGGGCATGGATGTCAGTATTTGTCATTTTTGTTCTTCACTCACTATTAACGCTCTCGCAGTACAATGCGGATATTCCATTCGAGAAGAAAGCCGCACCAGGGTTTTATGATACTTCTGAAGAACAGGCACGCATCACCGCAGCTCCCGTAGGCCAGACCCTCCGCCGACTTGAGAACAAGCGAAAGCCCGCCGAGGAAGAGGAAGCGGAGCGGAGAAAGAGACAGAAGAAAAATGAAGCAGGGAAACAGGCTGATGGACACCAAACAAAGTTCATTGCCGCACGAGATGCTCAGATACAGAAGTTGAAGGAAGCTGAGTCAATTGGACGGAGACGGAAACTCGTTCTCCCAGGTGCTCAAGTTGGCGAAGCGGACTTGGAGGAAATCGTCAAAATCGGACACGCTGGAGAGAGCGCCAAGGCCCTAGTTGATGGTGGAAGTGATGCGAGCGGGCGACTGCTCAGCGACTATGAGGGATTGGAAAACGCACGGATGGCAAGGACGCCGAGGACCGCGCCACAAGGTACGTCTCACGCCCACTCAAAGCCGAATCTGATTGTTCCAGGGGATAACATCATGGCTGAAGCCCGCAATCTACGGAACATGTCGATGGCGCAAACCCCCTTGCTCGGCGAAGAGAATACACCCATTCACGAAGACGCCGGAAGCGGCACAGGCTTTGAAGGCGCCACACCCCGGCACCAAGTCGCCTTCACACCGAATCCATTGGCCACCCCGTTACGCGCCAAGGAGCAAGCTGAGACGACTACCTCTCGGATCGGCGGCACACCTTTCCGAACACCAATGCGCGATAATCTGGCCATCAACGAAATTGAATATGCATCTGTTAGCTCAACACCCCGCGAACAGCGTTTGCGAGACAGCTCGGCGAGACATGCGTTGCGGGCCGGTTTTGCGTCGATGCCAGCGCCAGAAAACAACTTTGAGCTGCTCGTTCCGGAAGAAGAAACCGGAGGTGATCTTGCATCAGGGCCTGCGCTGTCAGAGGAAGATGCTGCCGAACGGGATGCTCGGATGCAACGGCAACAGGAAGAAGCTCAACGCAAGGTCCTTGCCCGTCGGTCCCAGGTTGTGAAGCGAGGGCTACCGAGACCTGCCAAAGTCAACATTGAAGATCTACTAGGACAACTGGCCCTCGAGGACGGCGACATGGCCCAGCGACTGATCAATCAGGAGTTGGTATCTCTTCTGCAGCATGACGCGATTACGCATCCCATCCCCGGCACAACATTGGCCGGGGGCACGATATCCTCCTATCAACAGCCGGAAGATCAGCATCTCGACCTGGCCAGCTCCTTGATTCACTTGGAGTTGGTGAATGCTGTTGGCTTCACAAATGCCAGCCCAGCCCAGCTCCAGGAAGGATTGATGAAGCTCGCCACTTCCGAAGCTGGGGACGAGACGGTGTCCTGGGCTCGTGTTCGGAAAGACCTCGTCCTTGACGCAACAACAAACATGTGGACAGAGCCGGAAAAACTGTCCGGCGAACAGCGGGTTGCGGGCTACAGCGTTGTTTTGTCGCAGCGCCGCCAGCTAATGGGCAATGAGGCTGCTAAAGCAAACAAGGCAGAAAAGAAACTCAATGTCACTCTTGGCGGTTATCTCACTCGATCAAACGCTTTGTCGCAGCGTGTCACCGCTGCGTTCGATGAGATGCAACAGACGAAGATCGAATTCGAGACCTTCTCGCACTTGAACACAAACGAGACGGCTGCTGGACCCCGGCGGCTCGATGCGCTCAAAGAAGAGGTCGAAAAGCTCGAGCGACGGGAGCGGCAGTTGCAGGACAGATATGGGGAACTCGAGGGGGAACGGCGAGACGCACAGGAACGCGTCCAGTCGCTCGAGGAGAAGCTCATGGCTGACGCCGAGGCTCTCAATGAAGCGCAACTTGCCGCCATGGAGGACTAACTTGATACCTTCGGAGCACTCATTTACTGTACGTTTGTGTAGGACTGCTTCGCGATTTGGGCCGATTCAAAGGGCTTTGTATCCTTTCAGCGCATAAAATGGGAACCACACCTCGGAGCACACGCCCCGAATGCCTGCTGTCGCCCACGACACAGATTCAAACCACAACTTCCCCGTCGCAGCTGTCAGTGGCAGTCTTGCTGGCGGGGCATTTCTGGTAATGCTTTGTACAATCATGTGGATCAGGGGTCAACATAAAGCAAGAATTAAGCCAGTCAGTCGTCGCGCTCTCTTTCGTGCTCCTTTTTAGCCAACAGTGGCACCATAGCACAAGAAAGAAGAGGGCCCTCTCAGCACCTGCACATTAGTACAGCATAAACCTTGGATGCCCCAGAAGAACAGTCCTCGAATCACAATCTTCGAGCCATTTCCACCGTACTCAATCTTGGCCGACCAGCACAACCTCCCGCCAATTTCACGAGCGATGCCCAGGCTCCCCTCGAGCGTCAGCTCAGCATCCATGTATTCGGAAGAAAGCGGGGAGGAACATCAGCATCGGGCTCTGCCAAATGTGATCCCAGTTCCTCTTGGCATCATCGAAACTGCGTTAACTAGAACATCGTGGGCAGACCGGACCCGGACGTGAAGTTTCCCAAATAGTTCCGCAATACAATAACATGACGGAAATGGAAGGGCAGTTCTACTGTAACGATTGCATATGTTCCTGCAGCTGTATTAGCATAGTTCCATCCTCAAACGACTGAGTAGCAGAACACACCTTTTCTACTCGAGAAACTGAATCTTTGAACTGGGCAACCTGCTGCCAGCAATCCAGGGGTGTGTTTGCATTGTTTCTAGAGCACGGACAACGTTCAACGAGCAAGCAGAGGATGAGAAAGTACACACCTATAACAGGCAACCAACGTCTCACCAAGGCCCTTGAGCCCAGGGTATTCTGATAAATCGCGCCGCGCGTGAAAACGATCTATCTTGGAGCGAACGTCGTCTAGGTCAGCAAGCAATGCAGCAGACGTTCTGATAGATTCCGGGTCGCCAGACACAGCCCGTTCGCGGTCCAAATTCTCTTTTTCAAGAGCTGAGTGGATTTCATCGCGAACAACTTGCTCTTGGAACCGGAGATGTTCAAGTTCAGCCTGAATACGGCTTCGAATCTGGGCATCCAACGTATTTTGTCTACCCGGAGAAAGTACAGCATTCGCCGCATTTTCCGATAGTGTTTCGACGAGTTCTTGAGAGAACTGATGTGAATAATGAGAGAAAAACAATGAGTTTTGAGGATAGATGTACCGAAACCGACGAGGGACTCTCGCGTTGGACAGAACTGGCAGAACCCATGATAGTGATGTCACAAACCCCCGTCAATGCCAAAAGGTGACCAAACTACGGCGCAGTTGCATTCGATTGCACTGCTTGTCTCCCATCCACTTGAAGGCTTCAGCCCGAAGTCTATATCAACCAACCACTTCCATGGCGCTTCCAGTCATGGAGGAGGGCAAACTCCTCGTTGACGCTTTGAACACTGTCAAAATTCAGGTTCAGCAAATGAAGAGATACCTAGTACGTTGCTCACTAGCAGATGTTCCACCCATCTGGCTTGGACTGACCCAATCTGAATATCTGAATAGGAGCTTGACCAGCTCATGGATGCCCTGAAAAGCGCTAGTCTGATGCTTGCTGAACTGCGAACCTCGTCACTATCTCCGAAACAATATTATGAACTTTGTACGTCCTCCATTCGAACGCACGGCTACATCTTCTCTTTCTGAAAGTTTCAAGACATGGCCGTGTTTGACGCTCTGCGCCACCTTTCCAATTATCTGTACGACGCTCATACACAGTCCCGTCACCATCTCGCCGACCTGTACGAGCTGGTTCAATACGCTGGAAATATTATACCTCGGCTCTATCTCATGATCACGGTGGGGGCTGTTTATATGTCTGTTCCTGACGCTCCCGTGAAGGAGATCATGAAGGATATGATGGAAATGTCGCGAGGAGTCCTCCATCCCATGCGTGGTCTCTTCCTTAGACACTATCTCAGCGGGCAAACCAGAGACCATTTGCCTGTCGGGAGTGACGACGGGTACTGTCCCTCGACATCCATATTCTAGTATCGGCTAACAACTATCTAGACCAGGGGGGAACCTGCAGGACTCGACGACATTTGTTCTCACCAACTTTGTGGAAATGAACAAGCTCTGGGTCCGATTACAGCACCAGGGGCACTCGCGCGATCGTGAGAAACGAGAGTTGGAACGTCGCGAACTTCGTATTTTGGTCGGCACCAATCTTGTGCGACTGAGCCAGTTGGACGGGGTGGACCTCGAAATGTATCAGGGCGCGATTCTCCCCAGTATACTAGAACAAGTCGTCAGCTGCAAAGATGTGATCGCACAAGAGTACTTGATGGAGGTGGTGATCCAGGTGAGCCCTCGCTCTATACCCCCAGTTGATATGCTGAATTGACCTAGGTTTTCACCGATGAATTTCATCTACATAGTTTGGGTCCATTCTTGACGGCGACCGCTCAACTGCACCCCAAGGTCAACATCAAGGCGATCGTAATTGCGTTAATCGACCGACTGGCTGCTTATGCCGCCAGAGAGGCCGAAAACGAGGATCCTGAAGAAACTAAGAAACAAGAAGAAGCTGCCGCCCGCCGACTCGCGGAGAAAGTCAAGACCCAGAAAGTAAAGTCGAGGGAAAATGGTTCCAGCGGAGCAACCCTCGCACCAGAAGCTGATACATGGTCAACTCCGCAACCTCCGATAGGTCCCCCGACAGAATCTGTGACAGAGCCGGTAGTCGCAGCAACGGCCTCTCCGTCTGAGACTGAATCCGCGGGTGCGCTTAAGAAATTCCGGGGCGTTCCAGAAAATGTCCAGCTTTTTGAGGTCTTCTGGCAGCAAGTGGTTGAACTAATCAGGGTGATCAGGGTATCTCGTTTTTGGGAACTATCCTGGCTGACCGATTTTCCAGGCCCGGCCAGACCTTTCTATCCAGGACATCACTGCGCTGTTTGTGTCCTTGACAAACTTGTCCCTAAGTTGCTACCCGGATAGGTTAGAGTATGTCGACCAAATCTTGAGCTATGCGGGGGAAAAAATCCGGGAATACACTGACAGGTGCGCATCGCAATATGCTCACACGTCCACATATTGAAGTGACCCTCAGTCCTGACCTTCACACTGCACAAACGAGTTCCAATCTTGCGGCGCTCCTCGTTGCACCTATCAATTCGTATCAATCTGTGCTGACGTTACTCGCCATCCCTAATTACGCACCGCTGCTCACCACACAACTGTTTTCGACCCGACGTTCGATTGCTCATTCGATTGTGTCATCCGTGTTGAAGAACGAGACGATTATCGAGACGCCGGAAGATGTAGACGGAGTGCTGGAGTTGTGTCACGTCCTTATCAAGGACCAATCGGACGGTCATTCCGCCGCTCCCAACGGGGTAGCTGTCAACGGAATCAGCGGAAGTGGGCTCAATGGATCGCAAGGTAACCCGCGCAAGCTTGGCCCATATTCAGTTGAAAGAGAAGAGATGGCCGAGGAGCAAGGCTGGGTTGCCAGGATGGTTCACCTCTTTCGATCTGAATCATTGGACGTGCAGTTTGAGGTATGTTGTTATTGTCCGTCAGATCCAACTTCGATCCCCATATCATTCAGCTGTTACAAATGGCTCGGAGACATTTCGATGCCGGAGGAGAGCGGATGCGATTCACTTTCCCCGCTCTGATCACATCCTCCATCAAACTTTGCCGACGTTACAAGAATCGGGAGCATCTCGCAAGTTCCTCTCGTAGATTACAGCTCTGTTGGTTGCTGACACGCCCTTGCAGGAGACAGACTGGGAGACCAAAGTCTCGACCATTCTCAAGTTCTGCCGGCAGCTCATCTTCATCCTTGCCAATCAAGTTGATGCACCAACCATCGCTCTGCGTCTTTTTCTGCTTGCTGCGCAGATTTCAGATGAATGCGGCTTTGAAGACCTCACATACGACCTCTACGTCCAAGCCTTCAGTGTTTACGAGGACAACATTTCTGAATCACGCGCACAACTGCAGGCGATCACATTAGTAATCGGTGCTTTGGAAGGTGCCAAAGTATTCAGTGTGGATAACTACGACACATTGATCACCAAAGCCGCTCTTCACGCTTCCAAGTTGCTCAAGAAAAGCCACCAGTCCACTGCTGTTGGTTTTGCAAGTCACCTTTGGTGGCAAGAGAAAGCACATCTCGAAACTGAAGCCGAACTCGAAGAAGGGGATGGCAAGCCAGCAGCTAAGACTGAAGAGAAGGACGACGAGACTGTTAAAGCTGTTAGTTGCCGCCGTGTCTCTTTCTGCTCGCGATTGACTGTGGACTGCACTAGTTCCCTCACCAAGATAGCAAGCGTGTGCTGGAATGTCTGCAGCGATCCCTGCGGACGGCAGGATCCGCCATCGAAGAGATTGTCACGGTTCAACTCTATTGTGATGCATTGGATCAGTACCTGTACTATCTTGATCATGGGGCTCCAGCAGTCAGTCGCGATTCAATTTTTCATCTTTGCTGGTGACTAATTGCTTGACAGGTCGCCCCTAAGTTTGTAAACAGTCTTGTCGAGCTCATTGCCGCTAGTATCGACAACATCGCATCACCTGATGTGCATCCCTCGCAGCGGGCTCCGCCTGGCCTAATCGAGGGCGTACAGACCCCAGAAATGATCTCTCGACATTTCTACAACACTCTGTACTATATTCATCGCCGGAAAAACGCCAACCTGACTGATCCTCGCTGGGAAGGCGTGGATATCGTCGGTGCTACCCTGAAAATGGGAATTACTCGATAAATATTCTATGTATTGTAGCAACATGTCCGATTTTGTGGATTTGAGCTTCCAGGTTCCCATCTGACATCTGGCATCTGATTCCATCATCATCTGCAACACAGCTCATCACCGTGACTAGTAACTACGTCTCTTCTACCGCACTCACTCGACTTGCCCAAACATGGCCGAAGGCAGCAACTACGATTATCTGTTCAAGGTACCTATTGTATGAATCACTGCACTCACGCATAAAGACTTGAGTCAGGTTGTACTCATCGGAGATTCCGGTGTCGGAAAGTCGTACGTCTCCTCGCATGTCTTCTTGTATCGCTCATGGGACAATCGCCTCGCTCGACCTCAGAAATTGTATGTGGTCCTATTGGGCACAGTGTAGGGACTCACGCGGTGTGGCAGTGCTTTCGCGATTCACGCGTAACGAGTTCAACCTCGAGTCCAAGTCCACGATTGGGGTTGAGTTTGCGACCCGCTCTATTGATGTTGATGGAAAGACGGTCAAGGCCCAGATTTGGGATACAGGTATGTTCATTGCCTGCTGAGCGTTGGGGCGACCAGCTCCCCCGACTCGTGCCACGCCATCAATTCATCTTTCTTTACAGCCGGCCAAGAGCGTTACAGGGCTATCACCTCGGCGTGAGTGCACCTCCATACTCTCACAGTATCTTCTAAAACGCATTGTTTAGGTACTACCGTGGCGCGGTCGGAGCTCTCCTCGTATACGATATCGCCAAGCATGCGACGTATGTCAACGTCACTCGTTGGTTGAAGGAACTGCGGGACCACGCCGACTCCAACATCGTCATCATGCTGGTTGGCAACAAGAGCGATTTGAAGCATCTGCGAGCGGTTCCAACAGATGAGGCCAAAACTTTTTCAAGTAAACTCAGGTGCTTTGCCTAGACGCGCACAACTTATTGACCACGCACACGTCAGCGGAAAACGGCCTGTCTTTCATCGAAACCTCGGCGCTGGACGCCTCGAACGTCGAAGGCGCATTCCAAACCATTTTGACCGGTCGGTCATGACGGCGAAATGATTCCATCACAATCTCATTTCCCCCCAGATATCTACCGCATTGTGTCGAGCAAATCTCTGGAACAATCAAACAATCCTATCGAAGCCCCCGGACCCAGCATCAGTGTCGGGGCCAGTGTCGATAACAATGCTGCTCAGGGAAGCAAATGTTGCTAAGATGGTTCAGTATATTCTACTTGTTGCAGAATGTTCCTTGTTTGTGTCACGCTCATCCTTTCAAACTCTATTGTATTCGAACTTGCGTTCCGTGTGACATAAAACAAGATTCTCGGAGGCATCGAAGGTGATTCTGAAAGCTTCTGTTCTCTCCAAGCACCTGCTACAATGTCCGAAATTATCTCTAATACAGCATGTCGCAAAAATCTGAATTGGCATATCCGTTGTGGTCAGCGCTGATCGGTAGGGCTCAGGTCTTCAGCCTGACAACTGGCTGATCTCCGCAGGAAAGGTTGAATCAGTTGTCATCAGGCGGTGGTCAGGTATTTATCAGGGAATGGTCAGCGACGCTTCAGGCGAGTATCAGACGTCAATCAGGCAGGAATTGGCGGTTGATCAGAACACTACCAGGTGCTGATTTGGCCTGAGTGCCTGAGTGCCTTCTCAGAACTGATCAGGCTCTCAGCAGCAAAGGGCAAAAGGACTACTGGTCTTCTTCCTTTCTCTGTTTTCTCTTGTACTGATTCACATTCTACAGTGCCTTATGATATGATCTTGCGTTGCTTTCATGAGGTTATTCACTCAATTACTGGCTAACTGGTGCTCATTTCCAACAATATTGAATTCACTCAAATTATTTCACAGGAGGAATCGAACACATGGATATAACTACTGAACCATTACATTATGTGGGCGCATGAGACTGTCCATGCTCCAGTGGTAAGTGTCGTTGGAGCCTTAATATAGCCACTTGCAACATGATGACACAGACCACAATGACCCGGTGCTCCACTTGCACCTTGCAGCATACCAGCATTCTTCTACATGGGACTGTGAAGTTCCACACAGCTCTCAACATCTGCTCAACAATATATCTATTTGAACTTTGCAGTCCACAGATTGCAGCAAGTCGAGACCATATCCTCTGACTGTTGAACACAGAAAACTCAGATTGGAGCCGCAGGAGGCTAGGGGTACAGATGGGAGACAAAAAGCCCAGTAGATCACATTGATCTGATGCTATATACTACACATCATGTGACAATCAACAAGAAATAATGTCGAAAAGAGAAGTGAATTCAAAGACTGGAGAATACAATCAAGTAGCTACAGTATTTATACCCAAATCCAGTCTGAGTCATATCTACAACTAATGAGTCATAAGGCTATGTACCGCATGGAGCACTGGTCATGGGTTGTAGTAGGACCTTCCAGAGGATATGTCGCGCAGCCTTGAATTGATGAAGATAATCCCCCAGACCCCCACCCCAGACCGTCAGATGCCGTGATCCGCAATAAGATAACTTGTGCCGAGATAAGATAAGATTGTTGATGATAAGATGAAAAAGGGTCGAATTACGACATTACCCCCTCTCTAGGGTCGATGTCCTCATTGACTGGGTTAATGGGTGTGAAGACGTTTTTGTAGGGGTCGAAGAGTTGTTGTTGGGGATATGGAAGGCGCTCGTCTCTGGGTTTGTAGCAATGAATGAGGTAATCCCAGTGTCTGGCTTTGAGCATTGGCAGGAGGCGAATGCGTGTGTCTGGGTTTGATTGTTTCCTCTGCCAATCTCTCAGGACCTTCTTCGCATGGGTAAGATGGCGTGATGGTTCCCAGGTATTTTTGCTATGTGGCCATCCCTTCCATTTGACCAAGTATTGCTTTCCTCGGCTGAGTTTTGTTCCTTCACAATTTCTTCGACTTCCCACTCTTCTGCTCCTCTGATCATCTTGGCTACGGGTCTCTTCTCTTGGTGGTGGGGGGGTGGTTCGTGATAGGGTGTCAACAGTGACTCATTGAACACCGGGTGTCTTCGGTCCGTGTCTGGCAAATCCAGCTTCCATGCAGCCACTCCAACCTTCTCCAGTATCTCGTATGGCCCCAATCTCTTGTCGCTCATCTTCTTCAAAGGCCTGTCCATCTCAATATTGTCCCCTTCTATGTACACCTTCATCCCAACCTTCAACTCCGGAACTTCTTTTCTTTGTTTATCGTAGTATTTTTTCATTTTTTCATTTGATTTTTCCAATGCTGCTTTTGCTTCGTCTTGTATTTCTTTGATTCTTTTTACAAACTCTTCCACCAACTCGTTTCTCAATTCCATCTGCTGCTCCACTCCCTTCCATGGGTGATATCCATGATTTGCGTAGAACAGTGATATTTTGGTAGACGTGTTCATTTTGTCGTTATATGCAAACTCTGCCATTCCCAGCCACTCCGACCAGTCCGTCTGATGGTAATTGACATAGATGCAGAGATAATGTTCAATCTCCTGATTCATGCGTTCTGTCTGCCCATCCGTGATCGGGTGATATGCGGTCCCTGGGTTCATTTCTATGCCCAATATCCGATTTGTCTCCTTCATGAAGCCCTTGATGTATTGTGAGTCCCTGTTGGTGATGATCTTGCGAGGGATCCCGTGATAGTGGAAAACTTTGTCCCTGGTTAATCGTGCTACCCCTTCGCTGTTGATGTCAGTACTAATTGGTTTGATGTGGATCATTTTGGTGAAGGTGTCACACCACACATGAATGGCGTCATACCCGTTACTGACCGGCAAGGGTCCAATTTGATCCATTGAGATGATTTCCCATAGTGCGTTTGGAACTGCATGCGGATGTAGAGTTCCTGTCCTCGCTCTTCTGGTCTTGGTCCGTTGGCACGCTTCGCACGTCTGGATGTATTTCCGAATTTGGTTTCCCATCCTTAGCTACCAGTAGTTCCTTTCCACCATTTCCTGTGTTCGGTTGATCCCAGTGTGTCCAACCAAAGGCGTGTCGTGGTATAGCCCAATGATCTTGTCCTGCAGCTCCTTGTCCCTTAGTACGTAGAGCTTCCTATGGTACGTGATGAGCCCATCTTCCTTTTTCCATCCAATAAGTGACTTCTCCAAGGCCGCTTTGACGCTTCCATCAATCGATCGAGTAGCCTTGATCTCATTGATTAGCTGCTGATCTTGCCCCTCAAATGTGACTTCTTATGACCGGAAGAATTTGGGCTTCAGCAGAGTGACATCCTTGTTGTTGTTCTTGCCCTGATTGAAATCTGCTTGAGGATTCTCCATACCATATGAGCTGCTCGGATTATATTCAAATACAAGTCAAGGGATTGTTTATGCTCAGATTCTGCTCGAATATTAGTGTGAGAGGACTTGGACGGGTTCATGATGGCGGTCTGCTCAGGATCTGTTTGAATAATTGTGCGAGAGTGTTGATAAAATGGCTGAACCAGGAATTGAACCTGGGACCTCTGACTTGGATCGTCCAGTGCTCTAACCACTAAGCTATTCTGCCTTGGTGCTGGGATTCCCAACTCCAACACTCCCCCGGTATCACAGCACCATTGGCACTGTGCCTGTCAAGGACGGGGTGGCACCATTTATCATTAGGCACTCATCAGACTGCAGTGGTCCACGCCAGTGTGTTCCAGGCCGACTTATGTCTGTGAGTTGCTGCTACCATGTTGATAAAATGGCTGAACCAGGAATTGAACCTGGGACCTCTGACTTGGATCGTCCAGTGCTCTAACCACTAAGCTATTCTGCCTTGGTGCTGGGATTCCCAACTCCAACAGAGAGGACTTGGTTGGTCTTGCAATGGTGGTCTGCTTGAGATATGTTTGAATAATTATGACAAAGAACTTGGTCAATTTTGTGTGAGGGATATGTTTGAATTAAGTTTGAATATACTTATTCAGAGAAGTATCTATGTGGCCTCCTGCACAGTCTCGTTGCCCCTCTCGTTGGAGTCGAGACCCAAAATGGAGACACTGTGTATGACATCATTCACCTCTTCCTCCTCTGCCTCTGAGCCCTCATCTTCATCCTGCCATTGCTCAATTTTGTGTGAAGGATATGCTCGAATGATGTTTGAATACATTCAGATTAGGCACTTGCTTCCTGAATGAGTTTGCCACCTTGCTCATTAGAGTCAATTGCCTTGCTCATTAGAGTCAATTGGTTCCATGATCAATGTCAGCTTGAGATCTGATGGAATAAGTAAGTGTTCAAGAAGACATCTTATCTGTTATGTGATGCATATCTTCCTGATTGCAGTAATGACTAATGGTTCAAGGTATAGTAAAGAGTCATGCATGCAACCAAAACAAGATCAAATAAGTAGAGTCAATATTTGAAGAAAGTCCATAGAGAAGAAGACATGAATAAGTAGATTACTGCTTCAAGGGATTGAATGTTGAGGTGTGGATATTGTATGTGCTTGGTTCGGACAAAGGGTGTGACATTACTCTGTGACGCATAGTATATAGCATCAGATCAATGTGACCTAATGGGCTTTTCGCCTCCCATCTGTGCCCCTAGCCTCCTGCAGCTCCCATCTGTGTTTTCTGTGTTCAACATTGAAACCTGGGGGACGGCCAGCCTTGCCGTTGATTGTAGCTTTCCTCTTTGGTGGCGGGGTGTCTTGCATTTCCTCCTCTTCCTCTGCTCGCTTCCTCTTTCCAGAACTGCATGTCGACTTATTCGAAACTTACACCAATCTCAGCACATTCATTGTTTCAAACTATTGCCTTGCTTGTCAAGGCACTCTCCACACCCTATATTCACACACACAAATAAGATGCGCCTGATCCGTGGTGTGATCCGATCTTGAATGTGTCGTATCTCAAGTACGCAATTACGATGTCTACCACGAGCCTCGTTACTGTTGAAGCAGGAAATGCAGAGAGGACTGGAGTCAACAGTAAGAAGCTCTCATTGCAAGACAGGACAAGAAAAGAATCTACAGACCTGGAGTCAACAGTAAGAAGCTGAAGAACTCCAGGGAGGGAGGAACTATCTATGTGGATAGGGCATGTGACTGTATAGGAATCATGTGATCAGAAGTCATGTGACCAGAATGATGGAATGATGGGAGCAGTGATGGAATCAGATATCATCAGTGATGTGATCAGTGAGAAGATCAGATGGAATCAGATGATCATGTGACCCAATCACCAGAGAGTGATCAAGTCCAAAACCCATTACCAACACTCCCCCGGGATGAGATCAGTCTCTCAGCCTCTCCCCCGCAATCTCATCAGTGTGCGCAACCTTGCCACCTGAGGCCGAGGCAGCGCCTTGGTCAGGATGTCAGCCAGCTGGTCCTGCGTTGGCACATACTTCACATCAATGAACCCTCTGGCCACTTCATCTCTAAGCCAGTAGTGTGCCAGGTCCAGATGCTTCATACGCCCATGGTGTTCAGGATTCTTGGACACAGATATGGCAGACTGGTTGTCCATCATCAAGGGAGAAGCCCCAGACACACCATGCTCCAGCTCATGCAGCAGATTGCGCATCCACTTGATTTCCTTCCCAGCATCCACACCAGCCACATACTCTGCCTCAGTGGTGGACAGAGAGATGGTGGACTGCAGCTTGCTCCTCCAGCTTACTGGTCCACCAGCCATCATAATGACATACCCCCCAGTGCTTTTCATAGAGTCCTTGTCTCCAGCATGATCAGCATCAGTGAAGGTGGTGAAGAGGTCATCAGGATGGATGTGGGTGGCTGGGTCATAGAGGGTGGGGGAAGATTTGGAGTAGGTGATGCGGAAATCAAGGGTGCCCTGGATGTATCGAAGCAGGTGCTTGACAGCCTTCCAGTGCTCTTCACCAGGATTGCTGTTGAAGTGCGCTAGCACCCCCACAGCATAGGAGATGTCAGGGCGAGTCTGACAGGCCAGGTACATCAGAGAGCCAACAGCAGACAGATAGTTGCCCTTGAACTGCTTGGACTCCTCCTCAGTCTTGGCTCCCATCTCCTTAGTTAGAGACAGACCAGGCAGCATGGGGGTGTCCACAGGCTTGCAGTCAGCCATGCCATACTGCTCCAGGAGGTTCA